TGAACTCGACATCACGCAGGAGAACATTGCGTTAAAATATGTTGTGTATTCATTATTGTGTGTCGAAAAATCTGACGAAGGAAAGAAAACGACACAAAAATTTACTTTGAAAATTCCTTACGTTTCATTTTAACCCCAGGAACATGTCGTTTTTCTCTTCATTTACGACTGCCGGTAAATTTTACCGAGAGTTCGAAGTCTGCCAAATTTAAATGGTTAGAAACTACAATAGCTTAGAGCTTAAGAGAATGGCAGTCGAGGAAATGAATTTTTTTTGATTGTGCGCATCGAGAAACACTAATGAGCTTCATTTTGGCGAAAGTTCGGTCATAATTGGACGTATTTCTGCCAAACGGAACTATGTGCATTATGACGTGAGCCCTGTAAAGCATATATTCGTATTGTTCTCAGGGCTCATGTCTTAAAGCACATAGTTCCGTTCGACAGAAATACGTCCAATTTAAATTCCATTATTCAATAAGAGCCTAAGTCGGGAATAGCCCAATACTGCCTCCCTAAGCAAAAACGCCGTATGAGCTTTCATGCGTTGCCACTTTTCTGTTGCATAATCACTAATTTTTGGGGAAATTTGTGAATATTTTTCTTCTTTCTTAGATAATTTTGATTGTAATTTGATCTTAAAAGTCTGAAAATCGAAAGGAAAAATATTCAAAACATTCCTAAGAAATAAACACTTCACTATCGGCGAAAATTAGGCAACTCTCGAATGTTCTTATGGCGTTCTTCCTTAGCCCGCAGAATTACACCTCGCAACGTGCGTGGGGGAGGGGGGGGGAGGCTGGATGAATACATTTTTAAGTGACAAGGGTTTCGTTATCCAGCAGTCGGATTTTGAGACAAGAATGCGAACACATAATCACGCTTGCCCAAGTCTCCGCTGGCCGCGTACAAAATCATCCTAAAAATAGGTGCGGTCCGCTGGCGGAGACACGCAACGGGAGTCGATAAATTAACCTGGAAAGTAACTGGCTCGCGGACTTCTGCAGGCGAGCATGACCTTTCGACGAGGATCCACAATCGGGCCTAATTGATAAATGAGAGATGTTATAAAAGTGAATGTAACGCGAGGCGTTCGCGCGATGATCCAAAGACGGACGACCCGACGACGTGGATCAACGCGGGAACAAGCATCGCGGCCGAGTTACTGAATCTTTTTGAAGACCCGATAAAGATCAAGACTCCTTGCGAAACCGGGAGATGTAGGTGAATCGGCAAGGCTAATGGACTAATTTAGCGACCGTCTCACAAGACTGAAATTTTCTGGACTCAGCTCCTTCTTTTAAAGACGGTCGCATGCATTTTCGATGGTTTCTTGGGCCCGTTTCCCATTGCAATAAGTTGCAATTGCATGGTAAAAATATTGAAATTCCACTGAGTGTTGTGTATGTTGCCGAGCTCCTATCTGAAGGGGCGCCGTTTATTGAAACTTATTGCAGTAAAATTGAAATAAGTTGCAGTTTTTCATTGCATTGCATATTGCCTATCTTTCTGACACATAAAGCTCATTTTGTCAATAGTTCAAAATCGGCATATATCGACTAAACGATGTGAAAATATTGCAATTTCATGGTAAGAAAAGTACAAATATATTGAAATCAAATTGCACTTTAATTTCAATATTTTCGTTGCACTACGCCACTTGGGAGTTTTCACTAAAAATGCATGAGGTCGTCCTTTGAAAAAGCATTGCCAACTCAAAACTCAACAACGATTCATGGTAGAAGAGCGCAGACAAATGCACCAGGAAAAGATAAGGGCCAAAAATGTTAAACCTCAGTCATGACAGGTTGAGGCTTGAGGTTCACAGTTTAACAAACGTATCAAGGGGAAAAAGTCATTAAAGTTTACAATTTGCCACGTTAAAGCTACGAAATTGTTAGATTAAATACAGAACGATCCAAAAGTCTCGTACCACCTTAATCACCCCCGTTCTTGCCTCTGTTCGAGGTAGGCTCTGTTAAAATATTAAGGGGAGGGGGGAGGGTCAAAGAGTCGTTTCTTTTGACCCAGTAGCTCCCACTAAATTACAAGCCAATTTGTTCAAAAGTCACATAGGTGATGCCTATTACTGACGGTGCGAGAATTTTGGATCGCCCTGTATACTACAATTTCAAGCCCCTTACTGGCATGAGCAAAATCTGAGCCACCCACAACTGAATTTTTAGGACACTGTGGGGAGTTTTACAGTGTAATTTAAAACTCAGATTCCGCAATCCCATTTGACAAAAATCGCTCTACACTATAAATTGTGCCTCCATAGACGTCACTCATTATTTTTCTATTCGCTAGAGAAACAGATAAATGAGTATACAAATAAGAGACAAATAAAATTTGTGAGTACAGAGGAAAAAGTTAATCACAAACAATATTTTTTTACAATTTTTTAAAACAACTTTTTTTTTCATTCATTTATTCTCTCTATTAACTCGTTCTTTCGGTATGTTTCCTTTAAACTTGTAAAAAGGACATGACTCAAGCGATATAGTGGCGCTCAGGCAAAATTCTTAAGGATCAAACCAGCCTTTAAATCGAATATATCGTTTTACGGTTCATCTACTCTGAATAGGCAGTGAGCAGGTGTAAGCGTGCAAGCACTAGCAGTGTGCAGTCTGCGCAGACATAAGTCATCGTATGAAAGAGAACAAGAAAAATTACTTAAGAATTACCGAACTATTTCAAAAGGAGGCCAAATAGTGTGGACGCATTCTTTGCCGTTGCGCTGACCTCTATTGGTCTCACAACCGATGTCGCATCAAAAGCTCCTTTCGAAATCCCCCCCCCCCCCACGCATTTTACTGCCAAGCTGGTCAATCTATGCGGGCCGTTCTTCTTTTTCCCATAGACTGATCTCCGTGGAACACTTCGGCATTTAAGATAATGCCTCAGCAAGAATTAAGAAAATGTGACGGCCAATCAGTCAATCAATGGGTGATTGAACGAACCAACCAGCTAGTCATCTCAAAATAGGAATAACTCAGAAATAATTACCGCGGTTTCAAAGCTTATATCTTTCTTTGGATTGTTATGGTTCTTCAATTTTCAGATCATTATGTCTATGGTATTGGTTTTGGTATTTTTCCTTTGGATTTACATTGCGTTGATTTTCAGAAAAAGACATTAATTAAGGATAACAGTCATTTTTTGTTTTCTGGGAATGAGGGAATTTACATCACAATTGACTCATTATGTAGCTATTCATTCGCAAAAAAATACACACCTCCTCCGGATAGTCTAAGGTCAAGTTATGCTTGTATTTTTGTTAGAGAAGGTCAAAGCATTTTCAAAGGAATTAAAGGAGCCGGTTCGGAACCATCCAAAGAAAAGAAAAAGAGAATGTTTGGTACTAACTACGGTTCTGGGGGTTCAGACTGAGAGAAAAGTAATAAACATCACCTCACTGAACTCTTTACAAAACTACATGCTTAGAGAAACGATTCATAGGTTGAGGTACACACGTGTAAAAAACATAAATAAATAAATAACTAATGTTAAGGTTTCAAAATAGAAAATTTCAACACAGAATAAGAATCTATCTATGATTTCACTTAAAAAGCAATTATGATATGGCAAAACTTTGACGATAAAAAAGGGAACCTCCATTCTTACAATATAATTTAACAATTAAATAGGGCTACTTGGTCGTTTATCTTCTTAAATTTCTCTTTTTAAAAATGCCGGAAGTGCCAGGCATAGATGCTGAATGAAAGGTTTCCTTGACTTTGGCGATTAAGTAAAGCAACCCGGTAGTCGTACAGTAGTTAATGTAAGCATTTTTCAGTAAATTAACAAAGAAAATTCTCAGTGTAATGAATCGTGCACATACTCGGTGGCATGGTGGTGACTTACGTCCCACGGACGTCTCAAGGGTAAACGACCAAACTTTATAGCGTGTCTCGATATTCAAAATAAGACTTTTTTTTTTTCATGAAGTTTCAGTATAGAAGGTCCCCTAGGCGAGGCTACTGCCCGAATTTTAAGGGAAATAATAGTTTCCTTCTCACTTCGAAGGGAGTTTTAGGTCAAAACTGATATCGAAATCAGCGGAATTCGATGAGAAACAAAGCTGAAACGCGAGAGACAACTTTCGGAAAGGGTAAAACAGAGACCCGAAACTTTCTGGCTGATTACTCAGATATTTTCAATTGAAAATAAAACAAATTAGAAAATATATAAATGGACCAGAACTCAGTATTACCCGAGAAAAGAATTACGAATAACAAAAGCTTATCAAAGTTGGGTAGTGACCGGGACTCCGTGCAAGATGCCACTATCATCAGAGTATTTCACTTATTTTGACCTAGAGAACACACTCCCACAGCCTCAGGGATTAGCCGTAAGAAACCCTTTGTATCGGTCGGTGGTTTTCCGAGATTAAGATAATCGAGACGATTTTGAAATTTTTTGTGGCCGCGAAGACACTCAATTTTCAATGATCTGGTGAGAACTTATCAGATCATGATCTATCTTGCGCCGTTTCGAAGCGAACAGTCCTAAATGGGTAATAACAACGGGAACAAGCACTCCATAGAAAAGGTAATTTGAAAAAATGAAGATTTTACACCTTGCCCTTTTCTGACTTTCTTTGAAATAACGATCGCGCTTACTTTGTTTGATTTGCTTACGTTATCAAATTAAGGAAATTAAACTTCGCAAGTGTTGATGATTCTTCATACTTTTCCCCGCGAGAAAAAAGTGAAAAAATGATCAGGAGAGGTGTAAATTCCTATTTATGTTAAATTACCTTCTTAACAACATGGATCTTCCCGCAAAAACGAGTTCCCCTACTACCAGGGTGCTTTCAAATTTCTCAATATGAGAAATTCCTGTCATGGCGCATTCCACTGGTAAAAAAAAACCTCTTGGACCAATGCCGCAATGCCGCATTGCATTGACTCAAGGGTGCAGTTTCTTGTCGCCGGACTTAAGAGTCTTGAACTCTTGTTTCAAGCGGATTTTGCATTGAAACAAGAGTCCAGACTCTTTATCCGGCGACAAGAGACTGCACTCTTGAACCAAGAGGTTTTTATTACCAGTGTCAGAATGGAAGTTAAAATCGATCAGAGCTCGATCAGTACAGCGTGTCGGAGGTGCCTCGACCCGAGCCAATATCACTGGCGGTTTTTTTTGTGCTGTCGGAGGAGCCCCCGGACCAAGAAAACGACGGCGGTCGTAGAGGTCTGACGTCATTTTTCTTGGAGACAAGGGCTCTGATGACTTTATTCGTACACGTGAAAGCGAGGAAGATGAAGAGGCCTTGCAAGGTGTTGAGCGCGATGAAGGCGTACCAAAGACCCTCGTTGTCCAGGTAACCGGCGACGAGTCCCACCGTCCAGGTAAGACCCATGACGAGGGCCAGCCGGGCGTAGAGCCGGAAGTCCCTCTGGGTCCCCGCGCTGGCCGTGAATCTCGTCATCGACGTGGCCGAGTAGATCATGTGCGCCGCGCTGCAGAAGAACAAGAAGTTGAGCACCATCACGACCGCCACGGGTAGGGCGAAGAAAAGGAGGAGGGCCTTCCTCTGGCCGAACCAGCAGGAGTTGACGCCGAACTCGGGCCTCAAGCTACGAGCCACCGTCCCTCGAGGTGCCTGCTCGACGAACAGCGACGCGAGAACGATGAAAGCAGGGACCAACCAACTCCACACAGAGTACACGATGAACTTCCGCCACTGCTTGCCGGCCGTCACGCGGAGCTCCGCCGTGGCCAACCTCAGCGTCCGCCAGACGTCGAACGACATCGTCAGCATCCATGAGAACGAAGACAAGAAACTGTAGTAGGTCAGGATGGCGATGATGAAACAGGCCTTCCCGTCGGTGATCTGCCCCAGCATGAAGAAGCAATAGGCCATGAGGAGCGCGAAACAGAAGGACGCGAGGTTCTTGCCCGAGAGGTTCCTGAGCTCGGCGACGAGGACGAACGCCACGAGGTGGAGGATGAGGAAGATGATGGAGACGCCCAGCCCGGTGAACGTGACATACCCCATGTAGACTCCGAATTTGTCCACTAACCTCTTCGTGAGGGTGTTCGCGCAGACGTCGACGGTTCCATCGGGCCGGAGCGTGAACTCGTTCTTGTAGAATGTCCTCTTGTACTTGGGCACAAAGATGGTGCCATTCCTCACGACGAAATCCTCAGCGTTGAGGGTGAACTTGGGGCAAGAGGAGATGTCCGCCGCGTTCCTGGCGAGCAGAGGGCTGTCCGGGAAGATCACCTGGTCGTTGTTGATGATCTCGTAGACCCCGCCATCGTCGATGACGGCCTCGACGCTTATCTCGTTGAAGATGTCGCGGCACGTGTTAAAGAACGGATCGTAGAGCTGTTTGTTCTTGCACTGCTCCTTCTTGCCGACCGAGTCTCCACCCGAGACATCGAAGAGTATGGAGAAAGCGGTGGGGTTGAAATCCTCCCATGGGAAGCTCCTCGTGGCAGTTGCTTTCCTGCACCATACCTCTTGGACGGGGACGTTGTTGCACATGGCACAGTGAGGGTTTCTGAAGGAGGTCTGCGCGTTGTAAACGACAGTCGTGTACGCCTCACACCTCTCACGCACCTCGGCGTTGGTCCAGTTGACGGCGCAACTCTTGACCAAATCCGGGACGCATTTCCTCACGATGTGCGACGAGGACTCGGGCTTATACGGATAGATCTTACAAGTGTGGAAGTGGTTCTTGATCATGATGCCCCACGCCTGCTTCGTCGTGTTGAACTTGACGTGCTTGATGTACTCGGAGGTGAGGTTCTGCTGGTTCTTGATGGTCGGGCACTCCATCCAGGCTTTCCAGAAGTCCACCTGCTTCTCGCCGTGGCAGATGGCGCAGTAGGGGTTGCGGTAGGTGATCTGCGAGACGTGGCTGGTGACGGGGAGCCCCGAGAGCGGGTCCTGGTTCCCCTCGTCCTCCCGCTCGCACATGGCGCGGACTTTCTGGTTCCGCCACTTGTAAGGGCATGACGTCATCATGTATATCCCGCCGAACTGCCGCAGCTCCATGCATTTGAAGTTGTTGACGGCCCCGCGCTGCTCCACGATGTTGAAGAAGGGCGAGTCCAGGCAGCAGTCGCCGTAGCGCGCACAGAGGGGATCGCAGAAGCAGTTCCTGTACTCCCAGTCTAGGTCAAAATCGACTTTTGTCCCGCTGCTGACGTCACAACTCTCGTTCCCATTGCACGTCCTGAAACAAATAAAATAAACGTCAATATCTTGTGGATTACATTTTGTAATAAGGAACCACAATTTCTGGCTCTCACATAAAATCACATATCTGCATAGGGAAACGAATGGAATGTATTTTGTTTCTAAAATGGGCCAGAAATAGTGGTTCCTTATTGCAAAATATAATCCTTGTATACTCTAATGTAGGACAACGGTTTGAAGTAACGATGCAGTTAGGAAATGAAAAGGTTTCGTATTCATTTCCACGCACAAAATTTCTCTTTTAATTGGATTGATACCGGCTAACTTCGAAATTCCGGTAAACCTAGGTTTGCCCAGGCAGACTAAGGTTTACAAAGACAACCTGGATCAAACCTGGATCTTTTTTTAAACCAACAGAATAGCTGTACCTTGAACTATTTTCCTCATCAAATACAACTGTAGAGCTTTACTTTTTTTATACCGGTACAATGACTGTGCGGTAGAACGTTTTTTTACCGCAAATAAGACTTTGGTGGGCAACTTTTTATAAGTTAAAGTAGGTTTCTTTGAGCAAGAGACAGTACAACAGTGACGATTATAGTATGAATGAAAAAAATAGCAGTGAAATATTAATATCTACGTTCTGTCTAAAATTTAACATTCAATTTAAAAGTGTATGTTCGGATACTGTGAGGAAAGCATTCGCGCACACGTCAAAATCGGACGGGCAGTATCGTCTCAGTAATACGCCATCTTTCGTTCCTTTTATGAAAGAGCATGTGCATTCTTGTCCACAACGGCACATACGCTGTTTTGTAAGCATGCTTGACGCTAATCCACGTCGGGTATGGGGATGGATGATAACGCTTTGATCGACCTCCGCAGGTGATTGAATCTTGTCTTTTTTGCGTTCCGAAAAATTGAAGATCTTCCTGGCACCTCAAATCCTGCCCAATCGTCAATATGGAATAAGATCGAGGATTTAGTAGGATCCAGTGAAACTACCCCAAAAAAAAACAAACAGAGACCTAGTATCGGAAGATCTTATCAATCAATCAATCCCTCATATTTTCATGCAAAAATGTCATCATTGCCACGGTTTGGGGATCCATCGAAGCCCTTTGATCTGTTACGATCATTATATTTTAAATCTATCTTAGCTGATAATACCAAAAACAGCACTGCAGCTGTAGCTGCACATGCCTCCCACACTTTATTTTTTGTTATTGATAGGCCTATTGTTCTAGTTACCTCGTTCAGATTCTCATTAGGCTTAATTTTTGTTTCGTTTATGAGGGATTTATAGTTGTTTCCTTCATTGGTCATTACTAATTACAGACATATATCTTCCTAAAAGCTATTCTATTCAATCAAATGTGCAATTTTTTTTTGATACTTTTCCTTACAAATTTTGCTGTCCAAATTTCTAAGTAAATGTGATGGACCGTTTCATTTTTATTGATCTCGTTTTCTTATGCTCATTTTTTTCTCTTTTTTTTGCAACGAGTTAAAATTAAAATGTTTTTTTTGGTAATTTTGTGATTAAAATTGAGATGTTTCTGTTGGTAGTTTTGTTATTAAAGTTAAGATGTTTCTTTTGGTAATTTTGTATTTCTTTTCTCTCCCTTCTTTTCTTTCCACAGCAAATCAAAATGTATGTAAAACCATTTGAAAATTAAATGAATTAGTTAATTACTTCTTGATCCTTTTAGCTAAACATTTCAATGTTAGAGAGGAAAAAAATATTTATTTATTCAATTTTTACGTCGACAAACACAGAGGTTGGTTTTGATCAAAAATAGGTAAAAACGAAATATATTCGATTCGAATTCGAAACTTTTTTCAAAATATTCAATTTGATTCGAGTCAACATCATAAAAACCACATTTGCACAGCCCTGATAAATACACTGCCCTCAAAATTCACTACTTTCATTCTTCGTGACATAAGAATATTTTGGCAACTTGCAAAATCTTAAAAAAATACTCTTATGCATAAAAAAGTTGATTGCGAGTCATAAAATACGGAATCGTCTAAATCGATCGTGATCAGAAGAAGCCTGCAAACTTGATTGACTGATCGAAAGTGGTTTTATGCTCAGAAGGCCCTGAAAAGTCGTGATTCAGTTTCAGACACATTCCAACCTCTTTTTTTTCTTTGCGCTCGTAAAATATTTGATTAGGAGCTAAATGATAATAAAATCAGCCTACCGGTACATCCGAAGGTTTTTGGCTCTAGACATATCCCTCCCATGCAGAGTTCATTGCGTTATAACGAAAAGATCGTTATCAGCCCATAATGAATCAAAACTGAGGATTGACATCAAAATATTGATTACGCGCTGAATATAATTTTTTGAGAGTTATTCGATGATTAAATTAAATTCTATTCTAAAACCATTCCGAAGTTGTATTATTGAATCAAAGGACTGAATAAATTAACGCTCGGCCCATGTGCACTATGTATACACGTAAAGGGTAACAAAACGACGATTACGAAGTCATTAACGTGGTACAGTTTGTCTGATGTTTAAACAATTTTCACAATAAATTGCATTGTATTCTGAATGCATATTTTCTCAGCTATACATGTGGCGGAGAAAAGGAATATTTTTTTCATAATCAGCACTTGAAAATTTCAGTAGATTTCAGGTAGTTGATTCTTGTTCGTTTGTTTGTTTTTTTTTTCACTTTTTTCTTTCATTGCATAACTAAAAACAACACGAGAAAATTTCCAGATTAGGCTGGAATCATTGCCATTGATCGATGGGTTATTAACTTGTGTGATATTGATATACTGTCCAACAAGCAGCAGAGAAATGTTCCAGGCAAAGGAGCTTCGACACCGGGTTCTGTTTTTGCCTAGCCACAGAACCGAAGGAGTTTTGTGAGCGCAAGCGCAATGTAATCCAGTGTCCAAGTCGAACAGTTGTTCTCTCTGGGCAAGTTTGCTACAAATCGGGAATAAAATGCAGCTTGCTTCCTCATTATTCTCATATATTTCCTTTGTAGACGGTCGAGTATCCTTCAGAATTGGTGTGAATTGTTCTCATCCTTCATTTCTGGAGACTCCCCAGTCTCTTATCTCCCCTAATTCGGGATGTCCCAAAAGCCGGGGTGGAATCGGAGATCATCAATGCCGTTTGGGCAACTAGGAGTTAGGCATGGATCACACTTAACAGATAAGAATTAACTCCATCACAGTGTTGTAAAAGTCGTACATCTTCATCTATATCTGAAAAAATGCGTTGAATAGCACATAATTTTAGATTTTCTACGACAATATTGTGAATAAAAAAAAAAAAAAAAACCGCGTGCATTTGATTAACGTGCATATATTCAATATTTTTAAAGCAAGTTGCAAGATTTTGGAAAAATTGTAATCGAGCATGTTACCTTCTGTTGAATGTGATCCAAATAAATAGACGCATTTTTTTTTTTTTTTTTTTTTTTTTTTTTTTTCTTTCTTGGTTCGATTTAAGTTCATGGTTTTTGCTACCTGAATCTAACAGAAATCTTTTTCAGTTCCAGTAATGCCTAGGGAAAAAACAAATCACGGTGACAAAATCAGGCCGCTTACTCGGCTCGAACAGCCTAGATGGAATGAGACCCGTTTTGGCATCACCAATTTGGAGCCCTACAAGTTTTCTCGCTCTCAAGGCCTTGCGAAAGGAGTGCGAATGGAAGTACACTGTACAGGCGCCGTATAGTTGCCAGGGAGTGCGTGTGAGAAACAAGTGAATGAAAGACAGTCTCCACGTTGCCAGCCTGAACTTAGTGACGAAAATAGCACTCAATAGATGAAGTTTACCTATATGTAGATCAAGTTCAGAACGGCTGAGAGCGGATCTGGTGATCAATTTTCAACATGGTTTAATGTCAGTTAGTAGGCAATAATGAGTAGATTTGCCTGAATGCCTAATTTTTACGTTCACCTGAAGAAGATAGCTCCGTTTGAAAAACATGTCATTTGACCCGTTTATTCTCAGCATATACCCCTTGTGCTCATAATATATCGATTATTGAAATATGCTCTAGTTTCTTTAACTACTTCTATCAGTAGATCAAAATGGAAGAGAATATAGTATGCAAAAACGGTGGCTAGATAACGTTCTTTTCACTTTCCGGAAAGAATGATGATCCTGTCTGGAATCCTAGACCTAAAAGGTCGATAATTAAGCTGATTCAATTTTGATCAGCTTATCGTTAACGTTAATCAATCAAATCCCTTTAACCCTTCTGTCAAGACGGAGGAAGGGAGTAATTATTCACAGTGACACCACCACCCGGCTCTGTATTTATCACTGCAAATAACGGAAAGAAACTGATTTATGTAGAAAACCGATGTGTGTGATTTCGTTACATCGAAACCAGATCAGTGAAAGTATTCAATCGGTTGTACATACAATCGGTTTCGTTCAGATACTAGACTTAAAGTATGGAATACACGTTTTTGTTTTAAGAAAAAAAATGAAAAACTTTGATTTCCAGCACCTCAACACATACAGATTTTGATTGGTCTAATTTAGAGGCCATGACAAATCAGTTCACGCATCCTAAGAGTGCTACAGATGATTAGATATCTTGATTATTTCGTTTACTTGGAATGCTAAGCTAAGGACAGTTGAACCTCTACAACACTCTGAAGGTTCGTAAACTTATTCGGCGTGGACTTTAAATCCGTACTCCCACGTGTAAAAAAGTTCACGTACGGCATTTACACTTAATATAAAATAAGAGACACAGACAAACCCAAAGATCATGTTTCTTTCGGCAAAACAGACGATGGAAAAACAGGTTACTCAAAATTGGAGAAGACGTGCTAGGCACATTATTTAAAAAGGCGTTTGCTGCACATAAAATAACTTAAGCAAATTTATTCGTAGATAAAAAATCAGTTTTGAAATGTAATAAAAATTTCAGGGATGGCGGCAGGGGACAGGGCGTTGACGGAGAGATGTTGCGTTGTCAGTTGCCCGATAACCCTCGGGAAGAAGGGTACATACGGCGTTTGGGTGTCGCAGAGAGCCGCGAGAGT